CCAAATCACTACTCTTACTTAGACTCCCAATCAACCAAAAAAAAACCTTGATAACAGATCATAGATGTTAACAATCCAAACCACTACATCAAACACTTAGATCCATTCAACCATGTAGTATTAATCATTACCAATCATAAAAATCAAAACCCACCAAGCAGAGTTTCAATCTTTAACATAAAACAAGTCAAAAACCAATGACCCATTATGATTTCCCATCTCCAAAAAAAAAACGAGAAATCAAAAACTCAAAACAAAGAAAAGCTGACAATAATTGCAGCGAAATGAACAAAACCCATTAAAAACTATAGAGTTAGATCATCATCACCTTTCACTTGCAGCTTGATAAAGAAAAAAAAAAAAACGCTTGGCGAATATGAAAGAGAGAGTCCGAAACGAAGTAAGACTATATATGAGGTGTATGGTCTCCGTAAAGAACAAGAGAATCGAACTACAGAATATACCCAACAAGGCCATGCTCGGCATTTAACAGAAAGAAGAACCGGGATTTAAAGGGAAGGGCATCGTGGGAATTTAACTAGGTCTAGTGACGAAAATGTCCTTGTACTTTTCAAAGATTGACGTCGCTGGATCTTGGTGTTCGGTTTCGGTGGTTGTTGTCTTTGAACACGGTAGTTTAAAAAAAGTACGTGTGTGGGTTTTTTTCTGATTGCCACGTGGCAAATGTTTAGGCAGCCAAGAAGTCAGGAAGGATATTCTAACGACGGATAGAGGGTTGGGGTTGATGATTCATGTAAGAAATTTTCAATTTCCAGTTTTTTTTCAGTTTTTTAATAAAGAATTATAATATTTTTTATTGAAAATAAAGATAATTTTTTCATAAAAAATAAAAAATACTTCATGATTATAACTATTTTTCATAAGAAAATCAAAACCATAGTTTATGAAAGTCATCTTAAATTTTGTATTTGTTATAATTTAATTATAGAATATTAATTTTATTTTATTGAAATTAAGAATAATCATAAAAAATTATATTCTCAAATGAAAAATATCTTTATAATATACTTATTATAAAAAATAAATTTATAATACTAACTAAAAATACAAACATAAAAATAATAATTTTAATACTTTATTATAAAAAACTACAAAACAAATCGTATTACTACTTAGGTAAAAAAAAAATATTTTAATTAATTATCCATTAGGTTTTGGATATATATATTTCAAGTTAGATTTAGGATATTTTTTATTTGAGTTTGACCATATTCATAACTTATTTATTATTCAACAAGTAAGATCCAAAAAATACTCACTTATTAAGTTTTGATTAGTATTTATAAAGTTCAAATTAAATTCTCAAATGACCATTAATAATCCAAAATAATGAGTTCGGCTCCTTTCGATTTTTGCTAAACCGTTGAAAGAAAATGATTTTGTTAATTTTGTTTTAACATTTTAATTTTTTTATGTCTTTAAAAATTATTGCTGTCTCATGAATAGATTAAGTTTTTTATAAACATACTTAAATTGGTTCGAGTTATTTTAAAAAAAATATATATTATGCTCATTTAAATTAAAATGTATCTTTTTTTTAATAAATGTTTTTTTTAATCATGATAACCTTTTTCTTAGTTTGATATTAAGATGTTATTTTTTTTTTTTTATTAGGTGAAATAAGCTTTAAATGTTATTTTTTTTTTATTAGGTGAAATAAGCTTTATTCAACTACACCGGATTTATCTTGAATTGTGAATTTTATTTTTACTTTTTTGAAACACATTTATATACTCTTGAAATTGATTTTTAACAAAGGCAAGATTATTTTTTTTACCGACCCACCCCAAAATTAGATTAATAAAAATATTTATCAAATAGCAACATAATAATTTTATAAGAGTAATGCTCACACCAAGAAATGCAAGGGGACCAAGTAATGTAAGGGGCATGTTGTAAAATTATTTAGTATATTTATAAGAGTGATACTCACACCGAGAAATGTAAGGGGACCAGGTAATGCAAGGGGCATGTTGTAAAATTATTTAGTATATTTTAGTTTGTTGGACTGTGATCTGATTTGCTCTGAATAAAAAACAATAAATTTAAAAAAATTATTTTATATTATTATTAAATTTGATCCAATAATTCAATTTTGAATTCTTTTAATTTTTTTTTTAATTTTGGTTTAAAATTAACTTCATAAAAGTTATTTTAATATGACTCAATTGACTTAATATGTCTAAAAATAATCTGAATAACTAATAAAAAACATGGTTTTACTTTTAAAAAAACTTTAAAATAACATTATTTTTAATATTGAATTGATAACATATTAAATTGATTTAGGTTTAGCAATTTAACTCACTAAACTCGCAATTCAATTCATGGACTCTATTGAATTTAATAGTTTATTTTAAAAAAAACTATTTTTTACATAATAATATAATAATAAAAATAAATACTTAAAATGATCAATATTGAAACCTTATAACTTGACTTTTTTCTTAAACTCGGTTTAAAATTAACCTGTATGAGAGTTGATTTTACATGATCTAGTTAACTTAACAGGTCCAAAAGCAATCTAGATAACAAGGAAAATCATAATTTGATTTAAAAAAAATAAAATGATATTTTTTTTAATATTGAAATAATGATATATTAAATCGACCTAAACTTTGTGATCTAAATCATAGAATCCATTAGGTTTAAAAAGAAATTTTAAAATTATTTTTTTATTTAATAACATAATAAAAAATAGATACTTGTAAAACTTGAATATCAATCAAATGCTAGGATATTTATTTGAGATCCTTATAAAAAAAAAAACCGTAACAAATTATGACTACCAATTCAAAATCAATAAATTATTAAAAAAATCATAAAAAAGATTGAGGTACTTCATTTTTCATATAAATAGTACAGCAACACAATATTTTTCAGTTCTTTTAGGAAAGACTAGTTTGTATATTTGTGATATGCCTGGGATAAAAGATTCTTTAAATGTAAAAATTTATAAAAATCTTAATAAAATTTTAATATTATCATTAAAATTGAAAATACAATCCATTTGAAATTTTTTTCATCAAGATAATTTTTTTATTAATGTATGTTTTGTTTTTCTTAGCTAGTGCAATGTTTTTAATTGTAATTATTTTATAATTGATAAACAAATTAACATAAAATATCAAAATAGCATGTCGAAAGCTAAAAAATCATAAAGATGAGAACATCATGTTTGAAATAAATTTAACAACTCTACTAATAAAAAACAATTTAAATCAAATAATTTATAATTAATATTATTTTTTTCAATCAAATACATCATAATTAAAAATAAATTATAAAAATGAAAATTCACAATAGTATTTAAAAAAAATCAAAATAAAATAAAAAGCAAGTGAATCTAAAAAAAAAATTCTTGGAGTGTAAAAAAACAAAAATAAATAGAAAAAAATGCATAAAAAAACAGCAAATGAGCAACCTTAATAACGAGTCCACTTGCCGGGAGTACTTGGGCTTGAAGGCTAAAACCATGCACTTAATCCTTCTTTAGTTATATTTTTATTTTATTTTATCCAACTTTTATTTATTTTAAAAAAATATATAACATCGTCTCATATAGATACCAACATTAATAAAATAAAAAAAATTCCATGTGCCTCCCAACTCCCAAAGACCCAGCCAAGAGGTTGTTCCATGCGCTTGGCAACTCAACCACGGCAAAGAATTGTTCCTAACCGACTTAAATAATTTACTAAGCAAAATAATGACTTCCAGTATTTTCAAAGTGTTAGGATAATATGAATATTGAATTACCAAAATCAGGGGCGGAGCTAGATTCATCTTACAGGGAGGTCAAAATTAATATAATAATATATGTATTATTAAAAAACTTATTTATTTAAATTAAAAATATTAAATAAAAAAATTTTAAAATATTTTACAGGACCCGGCCCTACTTGCCACCCCCTAGTTCCACCCCTGACCATAATGTTTTCTAATTCGTTTAGTAGAGAGAGTAATGGTTTTGAACAGCATAGTCAAATGGCAGTTGCCTCTTTTCCCCTTGCAGATTCCAGAAAAGAAAAGTTAAACTTGCAAGTAATCTCCACTCAAAGCTTGAAATTACAGGGAAGACCACATGATCCATGCACAAAAAGTGTCGAACATGCTTGGCATTGACGTGAAAACCACAAATTCAACTCTCCCAACGTGCTTCCACCTTCCTTTAATCAATCCATGCTACCTTTCAGCAGCTACAATTAACAGCTATGGCACGAAATTTTAAAAGGTGGATGTGTCGTGTCTATGCTCTTGGAAGCGATCGCCAGAGGGTGACCAAGGACAACTTTCCCCGCTTGAACCTCTTGGCATCACACGCACATTCCACAAGAAGAAATGCGCATGGCCTCTCTGAAATTTCTAGTTGCTGGACGTCACGGCCATGACTCTGTTTTGGCTTCTCATGTAAACTAGCTTATTACAAAAACAATTCTGGGATCCCCCACCACCAATGTCCTTGAGGATTAAGATTTTTTTTTTTGCTTTAGTTTTGGGCATACATGAGCATATTCTTTGAAACATATATATATATACAAGGTCGTGACAGACAGCTGAGCTGTCGCTGACCACATATTATGAACAAGAAACAATCACATTACAGGTTAGCATTTATTTGGATGGACAGAACTTGACAAGAAATAAAATTGAAAGTGACAGCCCGTTTTATTTATTTGATACATCCATTCTCTTTTTTCTTCAATGAGCATTCCACAAGGAAGGAATGCCACAACTTTTGTTTCGCTGTATCTGCCGAAGGGGCAAGAGGAGGAGAATACTGTCACGCAAATCGAGGAAACTGTGTTTTTGATAGCAGCACCATAACCAATAGCTCTAGTAAAATACTTTTCAACTCTTACAAAACAACGATTACACTCCAAATCGCCAGTCAAGTTTCTCCTAAAACATAGATAAACATCGGCTTCGAGGCTGCACCGGGATGGCTCAAATAAGGTGGTCTGGTGAAAGATGACGAAGAAATAGAAACCATAAATTGGCAACAGGTAGTGGTAGCCTCTTGGTGAATTTTCATTGACTTGGAAACAATGTTGCAAACTACAAAATTACAAGGAAGCCATAGGCTATAATAATACCCTAGGAACCAAAGAATATTGAAAAATATGCAAGTAGTGACTTGAATCGACACACATGAATCAAACCATAGAAGAATGCATAAAGGGAACACTGCACAAATTACTCTCGTTCTTCACCAAGCCAGCAACTCCAAATTCAATAAATCCTGTTCTCCAAATTTGATGATTGGAGCACCATAGCAGTTAAATGCATGCAGCAAACGTTTGATGAAGCAACTTTCAGCTGACACTGAATTTCTGTCTCATACAGCGATCGGAGATTCCTGCAATTCATGAAACAAGGAAAATTATCGCTTCAAAAACAGAAAACGAAGCCAAGGCGTAATTAATCAACTTTTTTACATAGCATTAGCGCCAACATTTCTTGCACTAGTAAACAAGAGGTGAATCCATACAACGATCCCTTGAAATATGACATTTGGATGGAGAAACATTATTCTTTTGGAGTTTGAATTGACATCCTCTACTATGGGAAACTATTAATAGAACCCGTTGTTACCTTCTATCCATTTCTTCGATAAAGCGAGTTTTTATGGGTTTTTTTTTTTTTTTTGGAATCGCTTCTACGTTTCAAAATGTTTTTTTTTTCGTCTGAAAAGGCATATTGATGTTTTTTGTGTGTTTTTAAATAGTTTTGTTGCACTGATATTAAAAAATAAAAAAGTATATGTATAAAAAACATCATTTTAATACATTATCAATTGAAAGGAACTTTTCAAAAATACTACCATAATAACTAACACACAAAATGTCATGTGCTATTCACGTGTTACACAATTAACACCTAAAACTTCTAACCCAGCAGCCCACCTTCTCTCCATTTTTCCTAATTATAAGACAATTTTGCCATAAAAGATTAAAAGGGACCGATTCAAAGACAACAATGGAAGCAAAGAGAAAAGAGATAGGGTGCCTGGCAATGTAATCTAAGAGCTTAGATAATTTATTTATTTTTAATTCTGCGGACTCTTTTGGCTTTCAATCAAAATCCCTCCTTTTGCTGTTGCCTATTCAATCCATTTTCTTGGGATATTAACAGAAAATCTTAGCAGTCCCTCATTATTTTCAAACCCCAACCTCAGTATCTGTTTAATGTCTTCCTCGTATTCTTTTTGTTATTTCTTTGTTCTACTTCTTTTTTCTACCATGGATGCTTTTGGGTGTCACTCTCCCTTGCTTTTATATTGATGCTTCTTAATTTTGGGTTTTAGCCTATCAGTTACTCTGCTATCTCTCAATACTTCAATTTGACAATTAATTTATCCTCAACAGTGCCACGACCACTACTAATAATAAAGCCAAAGGACAATTCTGTCACCCTAAGCACATAAATGGCTTCATGGCCTTTTGACATCAGGATGAACCCAGCATAAGTTCTAATTTACAGTGATACTGAACTATAAAGAAAATACATCTTATGATCATTATATATGAATAAATATATAAATAAGTGATTTTCAATGTCCATCTGATAATATTAGCTCCAAGAGTAGAACCTACCTTAGCAGTCAAATTCGAAACAGCCAAACTGAACTTTGCTCTTGTTTTTGTACCAGCAACCTGCCCAGCCTTCGCCACCTTACTAAAGGCACCATTTAGCCATGCTGTCCCAGCACTCACATACCTGTACCAAGTCAAAACAGAACTCAAATGTTACTTCTTTTTTTTTGGTGCTGACTCACTTTTCCAAGTGCATAATTAAAACCAAAATCAAATGCCAAAGTATAATATTGTTGTGAAAATTAATGCACATCAAATAGAGAAGCCAAAACTTGTTTAGATGATGATGATTGGGCTGAGATTGATGATATAAGGAGGATATCAGAGATGACATTATATTCAATGCCAGTCCACTGTCTCTTCTAAACAGAGGTTGGTGAAGAAAAAGAAGAGGGAACAACACTGGATCAATTTTCAGGGTCATCTGATCCAAAAACAGCAAGAAAATTCTGTGTATTTTCTTAAAAAGGTTAGGTTCTACCCAGAGATGAATCTCATTAAGGATCCATTAGAATTAAAAAGGAGTAATTGATTGGATCTAAATGTGTGCAATAAATATGCAAAATACATCCTAAAATAAAATTCCTAGAGATATCGATGATGTGTTATGTTGAAATAGGAAAACAAAAGCAAATTCATTTAGGCCTAAAAGAGCCCACTCACTTGCTCAGCTATGAAAAAAATATCTATAGTAGTTGCCAGTTTACTAACCCTACGTGTTCTACATCATCGGAAAGATTAGGGAATCATGCATTGTGTGATAAAAGAAAATCATGATGCATTGTATAAGTCATGCCACCAGAGATGAAATCACTATTCCTAAACTTTCCTCCACATCTTCCACAATATTCAGCTTTAGATACAGCAAAAACAGAATTGTCTATGTACATTTCTTCTAATATCCATTATTTGAAACAACCAGAAACAAGGGGCAGGGATTCATCCCACAAGGGTGGAAAAAAACAGAAATAATTACATCAACCAATCCCATTCATACAAAATGATAGTATCTAAACGAGGAACTAGCGAATATAATCTCAAGGAAGAGATTCTACCTGCTTGATTTTACAGCTGATCCTGTGTCATTTATCTTCCTTTCAGCTGCAAATATCGCTGCCATTGTTTTATCCGATACATGAAGCCTTTGGTCAACAGACTTCACTTTCTCGTTAACTACCGAAATTCCAACAGTCAATTTCTCTGTTAACCCAACTCTTCGATCAAATGAAATTACCTTCTCAGATGCATTGGCACTCAGGCGATGTTTCTCATCGAATGCCTTGGCCTTATTCATTGCATCTTGGCCAATAGCTGAACCTTTTGCTAGCATACTTGTGACAACTTCTTGTGCTCTACTGACATAGACTTTTCCGCTACCTGAAGGGCTAGTTTTCCCCTGCTAAGAGAGACAGGACAGACTTAAAACAATAAAGTTGAAAGCTAGGATTTGAAGCCCTAAACCACTATACAAGAACTAAGGGTACCTTAAATACTCAAAGTCACTATGCTTTAAAATTAATAAACAGACCCATGTTGAGACAAATATGCAGGTCACAAACCACCTATCACCCTAAAGCACAAGTAAAATGGCTCCTGGTGAATGAAGACAAATAAGGTAACAATACTGAGGATAAAGATTCATCTCGCTCAACCATAAAAGAGAAGCAAGTAGCAACCAGGTGTTTTCAGTATTTAATCAATTTCATTAGCATATATAAGACAATAATCACAAATATAATTTCTATATAGCAGCAAAGTTTTTCTAGTTATGAAAAGTCTCTCACATCCACCATAAAATAGATGGATACATCTAAGAATACTCCAAGTAAGATTAGCACTGGTGATTTTGACTACCTCAACATTTGATGGGAAGTCTTCAGAAGGAACTACAAGTATAGCGATGTCCATATTCCTTACTTCCTGCATAAATTGCACTCAAGAACATAAATATTTTGCAAAATCATTTGAAAGAGATTTGAATAACTTGATAGTGGAAAAACCTGTAGCTCACGATTTGGCACATAATTTTCCACAGGAGTTATAGCCACTATCTGGTCAACTATAGTTGCGCCCTGCATCAGAGACACACAAATTATACTCTACAGATTAATGATGCATAATGATTACTCAAATGATCATATCAAATAGAGAGGGTTAGCCAATTGCAAGCTTAAGACCCAAAAATATTCCTTTCCAAAATACGTTATGCTACATATACAAATTTTATGGAACTTGGCATTTCAAAAGGGGTCATTTACATTCCATCACATGACTCGCAGGCTAATTAAGTAAGAGAACAACAATACAATCAGCATGAATAGATAGCTTGTCTCGTCCTCTTTTTCCTGTGCTACTTATAGTAAGAGAACAACAATTTATTGTAGCAACAGTCAACTTCTTCTACGTCACAATACAATCAGCATGAATAGATAGCCTGTCTCGTCCTCTTTTTCCTGTGCTACTTAGCTTCCACCCTTTCCTTTCCAGAGATATATTCTTCTTTTATTACAATGGAGAAGATGAAATAAGACTGACTAGCACTTTCTACTTTTCAAAACAAAAGTCTTTCTTAAGGAAAAATCAAAATGAACATCAACAGAAGTTCAGATCAGCTTATCTAGATATTTCTAATAATTAATGCATCATTAAAAGAAATGCACATTCTGCCTCCAATGGATACATCAGAAGGGACCATTTACTGGGTGGAGTTAAAGAAAGGAATTCAATTGCTTAAAGTTTAGAGGGAATGAAAAAATAAAAAAACAATTCTTCAAATTACAGAAATTAAAGTGCATCTCATAACTCATCTGATTATCAACTGGAAAATACAAGGTAAAATTTAACAACAACAACAACAAGAAAACAAGTGAACCCACCGATAACAACAAGGCAATTTCTAGTGCTTTGGGATCTTTGAAGGTAACAAATGCAGTCTTTGATTGCCCATTGTCACTGCATCCAAAAACCACATGTTCAATTAAGCAAATATAACAGGCAAATAACTCAGCTTCACTTGTTTTCGTATCTTAACTAGTAAACCCAGAAATAAATTCAGCATAACAATGTCACTTTCCTTCATTTTTTCTTGACAGAAAGTCTCAAAAACTAGAAAAATAAAAACCACTCAAGAAACACTAATACTATACTAAAATAACATAAAAATCCAAAAAACCCAAGATCCAGTTTTCCACAACTTTCCAGTTTCGTTCATTTTCTCAGCAAGCAAACACCAAAGAAAAAAAAAAGTAGTACCGTTGGATGTGAATGTTTTCGATTTCGCCAGAGAAGGAGAAGAACTCGTGAACTTCTCTCTCACTAGCAAGATCTGATACATTCTTCACTTCTACTGTTCTTGTCTGCATACAAAAAGCAATTTCATCAAGATAAATAAAATAGAAAGAAAAGCACTGAAATAGGATACTGTTTTTTTTCTTACTGATTCAAGAAACTTCAACTTAAAACTAACCAACCTGCATTGCTATAGCCAGCTTGTTTCTCTTCAGTTTTTAGCAGCTCGAGAGAGAGAGGGAGGGAGAGAGGGAGGTTTAACTATAAAGAAGCCAGACACCTGACAGAAAGAACAACAAACGCACAGAGAGAGAGAGAGAGAGAGTTGTAGCAGTTTCATTATTGATTTGCCCTTACTGTTTCTTATATTTACATCTCCATCACATTGCCCATTTTGCCCTTTTATATTTATTTTTTTATCTTCAATTTTATGATTTTTTTTTTTGAGTTACAGTTAAATGGATGCTTTGAGTACCTTTCACCGGTAGTTGGGTGTTATGATAAATGTGTTTGCTGGTAGAACATGGCTTGTGTGACATGGCAATGAAAGTTTATTATGGGAATATTTATGGTAACTTTAAAATCATTATTTTTATTTATTAATCTTTTTTACTTTCTCTTTTTTATCCCATATGGTGCATTTCACTTTCGAAATCTCAACATGATATAAAAAATATGGTTTTTCGTTATTAATTGTTTTATATTTTAGAATTAAAATTACAAGAAAAAATTAAAATCTTTTGGACTATTTCATTTATGTGATCTTTAAAGATATTTTTAAATCGTTTTATATATTAATTAAGATTTTTTATATTTCATATTAGTATGATATATTAAGATAAATAATAAATTATCAAATATTTAAATTTAAAAAATTAAAGAATGGAATAAAACTCAACCAATCTAAACTTAAACCTACTACTGAAAATATATAAAATGTTATCTTTTTTTTTTATTCTTTATATTGTCAAGAATGTCCATATTTCGAATCTCTTCGTGTCTATTTTAGTAATTCAAGGATTTTCTTATATTTTAGTAGTAGTAGTAGTAATAGTAGTCGTAAACAACCAGATTATAAATTTGTATTGATTTTTATTATATTGTAAATTCGTACATAAAGTTCTCCAATGAATTTCAATATTAAATTATGTAGAAATATAATATATGGTGAGCAAATCTTTTTTCACTTTATTTTAATCAATGATTATACATGTAATCTTTATTTTTTCTTTGCAAATCTTGCCATGGCTATGTAATATTTTCAGTATTTAATAAAATTTTATATTCTATTAAATTAAAGACTAAATTTAAAATCTTTTTGAGAGGTTCTTTTACTCTTTTTTTATTTTTTCAATCAAGTAACCATGATATCAAAATTAGACCTACTCATGCTTATTTTTCTTATCCCTTTCGTTTGGAAATTTGACCGTAGTAGATGGGGACATGGGTGGTTCTTTTAGCTCCACGGCCAGTGGATATGGCATAAACCGTGGACAAGTCAAAATAATCGCCTTCTTCTATTGAAAGCTTAATGGAGAATGTTTGGAAAAGGGTTAATAATTATGATTTAAAGTTAAAGTATTTCTTTAATATTTTAAAATAATATTTTTCTAATTTTTAAAAATAATATTAACACATCAAAATTATATAATATATATAAGAAATAATTTTAAATTTTTAAAAAATATGGTTTCAATGTGTTTCCAAATATTGGCCTGCTCATTTTCAAGTTAAAGCAATTTAATCTATGCATCTCTATATTGTATTATTATTATAATTCTTATTTCTTGAGCATTTTATTTCTTGCTGAAACTTGGTTTCATACTTCTTTTTTTAATATTAATAAATCAAGTATATTTTGGTAATATTTGAAAATTTGATGGCAATCGTGTTTTTAAAAACATTGAATTTTTGTTACTTAATTTTTTTTATTTTTAAACTGTTTTTATCCATTGAATCTGATATTAAAAATAATTTTTTAAAAATTTTAAAAAATATTACCTTAATACATTTTAATATAAAAATATTTTAAATAACAATTATAACTACGTCCCTCTCAGTTTGTATTTGATAATGTGATGTAAAGTGGTTTTTAAAAATAATTTTTAAATTTTTTCTATATATCAATTTATCAAAATCATAAAAAAAAAACTATATAAAAAGTATTGATTTAAGTTTTTTAGAGTAAAAAATACATTGAAAGATATATTCAATAAAAAAAACACTACTTTTGTAGGTGAATTTAAATTTATATTGCCACTTACAAAAAGTGAACAACAAATTCTAGTACATATTGTCTACTCAATTAACTCTTGAAACTTAAAAGGGGTTAGATATTAGAAGGTGTGATTAATATTAAAGAGTATTTCAAATTTACAAATCATTTTACCTATTTTGTTTTTTTAAAAAGGAAAACTTTCCTCGACAAGCTACGATTTTCACCGCTAGAATATAAATAAAAAATTCCAAACCAATGAACTCGCTCCATCACATCTAGAAGGTGGAGGGAGGGTACAATTGTAAAACTTGAAAAAGTGAAAGCAAGAGGATGAAGTCATCTTAGATTCCTGAGGTGGTGATTGGTCAATGGGTAATGAGACATAACACATCAGCATTGGACGTTGAGTGATGGATGGGATACTAGTTGGCCTTTCCTTTGGAAAAAATTGAGCCAGCCTGTCCTTTCTTGCTCTTTCCTTCATTTATTAAAATAATTAATTTTTTTTTTTTAAAAAAAAAACAAACATACCTATTATTCCATTTCTCCACATTTCACGGAATGAGCATTCCGAACATGCTATTTCGAGAAGCAAAATTAATAAAATAATTTTTGAATATTAATAATATGATTTTTATATGTGCACCTCAATAGAAAAACCATTTATAAGTCAATTTTATTTTAATATACTTGTTATTAATAAAACTATTTATTAATTGTAATTAATTAATACAACTCCAATTAAAACTTTTTTTTTCATAAAAATATGTTTTACTTTTCTTTTTTAGTCCTTTTCTTTTAGTTTTTCGTTTGACTCTTCCTTGAAGATGCCTTAAAACTTGTTTCCTGGGGTGCTCTTTTTTTTTTTTCTTTTTCTATCGAAGATCACCTTCAAAGAAATTCATGAAATTATCACGCACCTAGGACAAGTGTTATATCAATTTGTTTAGGTAATAACCAGGTTGGATTAAAAAAACTTTTGAACATAAAAAAACTTATCCAAGCTATTGGAAATTTTTTTTCATTTTTATTAAACATGCTAGACAAGGTTAAATTGAAAACCCTCTACTTGTATTTTTATCAAGATTAAGTTTTTAATCTATTTATGTGAAAATTTGTTTTGAAGTGATTCAATTGTTTTAACTTGTTTAAAAATAAAAATAAAATAAAAAATTATATAAAAAACAAGAAACACAAGTTTAAAAATAATTTAAATAACCAGTAAAAAAAGAATTTGGCTCAAGAAAATGAAGCTAACATAATTTTTTAAAATATTGAGACAATAATGTATTTAACTGATTCTAGTTAACTTGTTTTAACTCGCTAAACTTATGATTGAGTTGTAGATTTCAATAAGCTTAATAAATTTTTTTTATTTTAATTATATAATAAAAAATAAAAACTAATTAAGAATAAAATTAAAAAAAAAATCATAAAAAACCCTCAATGTTAAAGATTCTAAGATAAAAAGATAAGTTAAGCCAGACACGTAGGCCTTAATGGTTCAACATATCAAAACCTTAAAAAAAACCTAAGTACATGGGTTTGAGCTAAGCAATTTAAATGATGAATAAAAAATTGTTTGATTTTTTTAAAATGAAAATGATATACTAAAAAAAAACCATTTAGATGATGAGATATTATTTCGATTCTAGTCAACTTAGGTTAGACCTGAGTTATGAACTTCATCGAGTCAATAATATTTTTTTATTTCAATTATAGGATAAAAAAATAAAGATCAACTTAAAATCAACTCAATATTAAAAAAATAATTAAAAAATAATTAAAAACCCAATGTCAAAAGCAATATTTTAAAAAAAAAATAAGGTCAAGCGCACAACCCTAAATGTTCTAATGTATTAGGCAAAACAACATGTTGCCTACTATGCCCAACTTGAAATATTTATTTATTTTTTATTTATGAGGAGATGAATGATGTGTCATATATTCATTATTATATATATAAAAAAAAAGCAACATATCACCTGCTATATCTAGTTCAGAATTCAACCACTATTATAATAGTTGAAAAATCATAAGATGAGGATTTTGGGTTGAAAATCTATTTTTTATCTATTTTAATCTAAAAACACCTAATAAAAACTATAAAAATCTTCCTAAACTACCCTAAAGCTCAAAATATCCCCTAAAATCACCCAAAAAAACAAAATCAACTAATTCTATAAAATCAAAACATAACTCAATCTTTATTTTCAAACATGTTTATAGAGAAATTCACCACTATCAAACTCAATCTCTATTTTCTCATTGAATGAAACATGTTGATACCAAGTTTGACCATATTTGTTTTTAGTATCACAACAACCAACTATTTTTTATTTTTGATTTTTAGCTACTTTCTCTCTTCCTTGTCTAATTTGAAAATTGAAAAATTAACTTTGAATCAAAATAAAAATTATCATGAATTTGAGGTAAGCCATATATTTTATTCATGTTTTAATTTAAAGCTTAATTTAATATGATTAGACCAGAAAAGGATGTGACTGTAAGAAAAAATGTTTGAGAATAAAAAAACTCGTCATGAGGTTCATTGTTCATATAAACATTGACCAATCTTTAAACTTTTTTAGTTTTTGTTAATTAGTTTATAACCCGTGTTTTTCCTGTGAGTTAGACCAAATATTTATAATCATTAAAAAATAAAATCTAAACCATTAGAAATTTTTTGGCATTATTATCAAACTCAGTACAGCAATTCAAACTTGAAAACTCCCAACCCGACTCTTTCATTAATATTGAGTCAACTAGCAAAATCTACGACATAAGTTATGAACTATATTGGATCGAATTAATTTTATAAGAAATACAAAAATTTTGCTTATCATAAAATTGATAGTGAATGATAAAAATCAATAAAAAAACCCGATAATAAGTCATGGAATTGCAAAGAAAAAAAATCATAAAACAAAATTAGATTCAACATCTCAAACTTGAAAAATCTAGGTCCAACTCTTTGATTAATATTTAGTCAATCTATTAAACTTATGACTCAGGTTATAGACTTCTTAAAGTTGAATTAATATTTTTATTTTATTATATAATAAAAAATATAAAAATCAATTTATCATCAATCCAATACTAAATAA